GGTTATTTCCACAAACACACTTTATTATACTTCTTAATTTCTTACTAAGTGAAATATTACAATAGTTCCCATTAAAGTCAGGAATAAGACAAAGATGCCCTGAACTCTCTATTCAACAATGTCCCATAGTCTTACCCCATATGCCAAGAAAAATTAGTTATACCTAATGAAAAAAAAATCATTATTTGAAGACGATATGACTGTCAATCTAGAATACAGGATAATTAATCAAAAGAATCTAACAGATTAATAGAGTTCAGAGAGGTACCTGGATACAAAATCAATATATGAAAATCTAGAGCTTTCCTTTATACCAGAGGGTATTTCCCCCTTATTTTTATGCCACTGCATATTATTTTTTTCTGTTGCCAGACAATTTATTCTTTGTTCACATTAAGAATAAGGTAGAGACATAAAAGTGTGGTCAGTAAAATGGATAGAACACCACGAGGAGCACAGATGGTGTGAAACATCAGCTTGGTGTTGGCGCGTGCTGGCTCTGCACAGCGGAGGGACAGGCAACATGGGCTGGGCATGGCCAGGAATCCTGTCATCAGCATGGTCCATGTCCTTAAAACCTCTTTATCTTGAAACAGAGATACGAACACATGGGGATCTCCTTACCATCCTGCCACTGACCGTCGCCTCCAGGGAGTCCACCAGCTCTGCCGTGACTCCGATGAGATTGTGGTAGTCCGCCTGGATTTTATTGTACCGCTTCAGGTATGTCATCGACCTACGCTCAGCTTCTACCAGCTGTTGGTGGAGCTGCTGCAGCATTTCTAGGAAGGCAAAGAACAGTAAGTCAAAACAACACAAATATCCCACAGGATAAAGAGTAACTGCCTTCTTCTCAAGAGAGTACCATGCCTACCACCAGAATATTCTGCTACAACACTGAGCCTGGCACTGTTTGTGTTTAACACTTTACTTCCATTTCATGCCATAGTTAATTACAAAGTGCATTATAACCACTGATCTTCAATTTCTTGTCTCTGGTAGTTCAACTGAATCATTACTGGTTTTTCTAACAAAAAATCTATTCGTTGACAGAACCCCTTGAAATGTCTTTCAGTTCTATGTACAAGAAACATAATGTTTCTTTCTAGAATCAGCTCACAAAATGGATGAACCAAACCTGTGTCTTTTTCTGTGTTTGCCTGTGAGGTAGCTGGGGGACAATTCACATCTGCAGGACAACTCTGCATTTTAAATAAAGTTCAGGGCTGCTTGACTGGTGCTGAGAAAACTAGAATGCAGAATGACGTAACATTCCAGTTGGTGAAGCTGAAGCCTCTCCCCGCCCAGGCCTTTAAGCAGGCAGCCTTGGAAAGTTCCAGGGTTCTCTTCTTGGAATCCCTTGCCATGGGCAGTACTTGACGGCCCAGCCTTTTGGAAAGAGGTCAAAGATTTTCTAAACATATTTCTATACAAGTTGAAAACATGAAAAACCAGAGAGGTTACATCCTAAGGCAGTGGTATGCAAACTTTGAAATATATCAGAATCATCTAAAAATAAAGATGACCAAGCCTCACCTCCAAAGACTGATTTTTGTGGATACTGGGTAGGGCTGAATATCTGTATTGTCAACAAACTCCCCAAGTGGCTCTAATGTACCTGATATTGAACTGATATTATTATTTAGCACCCACCAAATCTAAGTAATGAAAGATACTTTTAAGCAGTTACCTGGTTCTACAACTTTTTGCTTCTACTTCCATTTTAAGTACTTTGCTTCTGTTTTCATTTTGGAAGTCCCATTGCTTTTAAAATTCATGTGGTTTTCTCTGTTTTTCTCCCTTCTCACCCCACCACAACCACACTGTTCTTACCATTTTTAAAGCCCCACCCAAATCATAAATGTAAATGTTGCCAAAGTAGATCCTCTCTAAAGGAGACTGTACAAAAGAACTCTTCAGAAACTCATTGTGCAATTAACTATATGCAAGGGATGGTTTGTGGAACTTTTGCCTTGGGAACTCAGAACTGGAATGTACAATTCCTAAAGTGCACCTAAGGGCAAAGGTCCTAACTGCCAAGCAGCCTACAGGAGGGTGAGAAGTAGGCAATTGGGCTGAAATGCTTGTGATTAGTTCAAATACACTATTTAGCAGGAGAACAGCCTGCTGTTCAGAGACATCACCTTGCAGACACTTTTGTTGGCTACACATAGGACCTGACAATTACGGCAAGCTATTTGGGTCACAGCTCAAAGATATCAACTTTATTTCTGAGCATTAAGAGGACTTTGACTCTTTTTTCCCTGTCAAAAGTTTTATGAGACAAGCCTTGCCAGGCAAGACCTCAACTTTCAGTGGAAATGTCTTATCAAAAATTCCATGCTATTGTAATGAAACGGTCTTAGTCATGCCAGTGAAATGTATTGAGACTTCATATTTCAAAACTACTGACATAATTTGTGCAAAAGTCCAAAGTACTACACCCCAAGTTTTAAATAGAAGATGTATACAACTAGAAGAATGTCTGTTCAGGTCACAGAAAGTTTCCATATAATTCCAGCATGAAATAGAGCAATAACAAAATTGATGGTGACTCCACCCCAGCCAAGCAGTCTCCTTTTCCCTAATTAACATGGCCATTTCATTTAGGTATATTGCTTTCTTTTTTTAAAGAGTAGATGAGATTTATTTTTCGAGACCTCTTCACTGCTCAAGGCCAAGTGATACACTTAAAAATATGGATGTTTTTTTCATCTATATTAAAACCTAAAATCAATCTATATTTACAATAGGATATACTCTTTCTTCTTTGTATTCAGATATAAATCTGCTCTTTGCTATTCTGCTAATCCACAAATGCTGGATGAAGAAAGTTATGACTTATAACCATGAATAGGTCATCATTTAAAAAAGAATATTATTTAGGGCTGTGAACTCTAGGAAAATGGTCAGTTGCTCATTTTCTGAAGGAGCAGAATCAATTAATGCCAGAAATGGTAGATACTATTTCTATATTCTTTTTAAATAGGTAGGTGAAAATAATCATCCAGTGTGCTATATTGCCAACCTAAGTTTGTATTCTAAACACCCTTGTTAAGTGTAACTCCTTTTCCACTCCTAGCACTTCTCTTGCTTCTCCAAAAGCTTCTGGAACTCTTATTTTATCCATGAAACTTTCCTATCAAGACACAAAGAATAATGATACTACCCAATTGTTCAATTTAAAAAACAATACCTGAGTCTACAATTAAGTTCAATTGGGGCATATCTGTACCTTGTGGTTGCAGCAACCCTGTGGAAGGAGGGGACAAAGTAGTGTCAACTGGCTGTCATGACACTGAGCCTGGGCCTGGGCCTGAGCCTGTGGTACAAGTGCCCTGTGGTGCTAATCTCTGATCTCCATAGCAACATTGCATTATGGGGCTTATTCAGCCACAGAAATACACTGTGCCTGCCAGACTCAATTCCATACATTCTGCTTGGGTAGCCTCAGAAAACCCCATTTAAATCAAACTTGAGAAAAGGCTAAAAAACCCTGGTCTCTTTGCTGAAATTCCACATTAAAGATTTGTAGAAAAACACAGTCTCTTCTATTTGCACACCCCCTCCATGTATATTTTGTAAAATTGGGCCACTAATCAGAGACATACCTGGTTCCCAGCACAAAGCTATCCTCAAAATCTGCAGAACATGCTGGGGTGACAGGAGCTGGCAGAATCAAGTAACTGGGGAGAAGTTTCTCACTACTTTCCCTTCTCCAGTGCCTAGGAGTCTAAAGACCAAATCTCAACAGGGACTAAGCAAATTCAGTCCAGAACACAGGTGGTTCTCTGGGACTCAAAGGATACAGGTGGGGTGGCAGTTTTAAAATATGACTGCAAAGTCTTGAACATTCCTTCCCATCTAAAAGTGGAATATATTTTCCCTTCTTTTGATGTGGGTTGGTCTCAGGATGTCGCTTCATGCAGCAGAAATGACACTGAACTGTTCGTCCAGAGGCTGGGTTAGAAAAGGTGACAGCTTCCATGTCTCTCTGGCGACATTCGCTCTCAGAACCCAGCCACCACAGCCTGAGCCCAGGTGCGCAGACTACGTGGCGACAACACATAGTTCTAGTCAAGGTTCTCTGCTGCGATGCCAGCAGCAGCCACCAGACCTGTGCTTGTGTGTGAGGAAGCCTTGGAGATGGCTCCACCAGGCTCCACCCGCACCCGAGGCACCCGAGGGAGCACACTGCCCACTGAGCCCACGGTTCCCAGACCGCCCAAGTTGGCAATAATAAATAGAAATTGTTGTTTTATGCCACTAAGCTTGAAGCGGTTTGCTAGACAGCAACAGAAATAGTGGGGCGAACGTGCATTTCCAGGAGTTGCAGGGCAAGACCCAAGTGCCCAGCCAATTTGAGAATCGCAGCAGTGAGAAAACTGGCAGAGGACTCACCCTGGCCAAGGCGTGGGCACTGTCCTGACACTTTCAGGGGCAGACCTGAGGAGCTGAAGAGACCGGCTGGGACTTATGCTCGGGCACACGTAACTGCTCTGGAGACAGAGCAAGCTTAGGGAGCACCTGGCAAGCCGGGGAGCACTCTGCGAGGCCACAGCAGCCTTCCTGCTCCTCCGGGCTCAAGCACGGGCCTGCGGCTCCTCCGTGGGGGAGGAGCTCCCCCCAGGCTCTGTGCAACTGGCGGGACCATCACACCTTCAGAACTCGGGGCCGGGGACATGCAAGGCTACGAAGGCTGGAAGCAAATACTCCAACTCTTCTGCGAAGCTACCGAAGCCATCCTTGTGCATCAAATGTAAAGCACTGGTCATTTGTCAAGTCCCTGGAAAGTAAAGAGCTAAGCAATTTTCTAATGCTTTCTTTCTTTAGAAAACTTTCTCTAAAAAGAAACATGGAAAAACAATGACAGGAAGTTTTGAAATCCTCTGACATTACTCTGCTGTGAGAAGGGCAAATGTGCTGTTTTGTGTAGTAAGACTCCACCTGCTGGGAATTGAGAATTATGCCACCTAATACTTAGCAGAGGCATGAAACACATACGCCCTTTCCAATGTGATCATTTAAGCAGTGTTCATCATGCAGGATCAAAGACAAAACTCAGGCAAAGAGCCAGAACCAGGGCCACTGATTCCGTATTAACTGAAATTTTTCTTACCTTACTGAAAAATGAACAGTTCTAGTAAAAAAATTACTATCATGGAAAACTGTCTTATGCTAAAAACTTCAGGTTGGAATTTCTATTTTGAATGTAAAAAATGGAAACGCTTCATAAGAATGGATACTCCATACTGCTACCGAGATAAGACCCCATTAGACTAGTTCAAGGTAAGAATGAAAGATCCTAAAATAATTCTTTCCCCACGCACGCTGCACTGGTCTTCTAACTGTGCTGCTGCAGTTTATGTCCCTTTGGGATATTGCTCAAATGCCCTCCATGTCTCCATGTCTTAGCCACCTTATATGCAAGACCAAGCTAGCTATACCAGCCATTCTGAAAAGTGAGCCTCAAGGAATCACAGATGAACATGACTGCAAAGCACTTTATTGACTTTAGACTTTTAAAACAAGTGCACGAAATTCTCTCCATCTCTGTCACTGTCCCCCTACTTAAAACTTGAGTTGGCAAAGACATTCTTTAAAAAATTTTAAGCCAGGTGATTTACCTTTGTTACCTTGTCCATTCTCCCTCTGAGATGAAGAAGTAGTTCAGGAAAATAGGCACTCAGGACACAGTACGTGGGGCGTCTCACGCTGTGTGGCCAGTCTGAGAAAGGGCCTCAGCATGGTAAAAAGAGTTCTCAAGACAGTGAAGGCCGCTTCTTAATGTTGCTATAAATAGCTAAGGCCATAGGACTTCTCAGTACTTGGATGACGTGCTCTCAAATAAATCCCCTTCCCTCCATCGCCATCACTGCTGCATGCACCCAAGTCTTAACACTGTTTCAACAGCCCCCTAGCCGGCCTCCTTAACCCTTTCAAAAGACCTTCTCCACTGCTACCAACATATCCTACTAAAAATGCAGATCTGAAATCATACCCTTTAACGTTAATAACTTCAATTCTAAGGCCTTAATGAAGGCTTTAGAGCCAGACTGCCTTAGCTCCCCCACATTTGGCCACACGAAGGCAAGGTATTTAACCTGTTTTGTTTGGGTTTTCTTAATATTGTTTTGTAACAGCTTTATTAAGATGTAATTCACATATTATCAATTCACTCAAAGTATATATTTTGATGGTTTTCAGTATGTTCAATTCTAGAACATTTTCATCACTCAAAAAAGGAAACCCTAAACCATGAGTAGTCATCCCCTTGCTCCCCACCCTAGGCAACAACTGATCTTACTGTCTGTCTAGATTTGCCTCTTCTAGAGCTTTCATACAAATGGAATCATGTGACATGCAGCCTTTTGTGTCTGGTTTCTTTCACTTAGCATAATGTTTTCAAGGTCTATCCATGTTGTAGAACGTATTAGCAATTCATTCATTTCTATTGCCAAATTATATTCCATTATATGGATACACCACACCTTGTTTAATCCATTCATCCATTAACGGACTTTTGGGTTGTTTAAACATTTTTGCTATTTTGAATAATGCTATGAACATTCATGTACAAGTTGTTGTATAGACACATTTCCATTTTTCTTGGGTATATAGCTAGAAGTGGAATTGCTGCATCATATGGTAACTCTATGTTTAAATTTTTGTTTCCTCAAAAAATTTTAAGAATATTTAATGATATAGGAAAACGTTCTCTTCACTTGATAAAAATATTTTAAGAACACATAGGTACAAGTATCTGTTTATTGTAAACATTACATACTTTGGGGTGTATGTATGTACACAAATGCATTTCTGTGCTTTCCGAATTTCCTATAAGGAATATGACCGATTTTATAATCAAGGAGGAAAAAGAGTGAATTTCTAAAAAATGTAAATATAAGCATATTATTCTCCTGATTAAAAATGCTTCAAAGGCTCCTCAGTGCTTACAAGGCCTCATATAAACATGCCCAGGCCCCTGCCTAGTCTCTTTCTCTCTCAATCCTTCTGCTCCAGCAATACTGAATTTTTGTAGTTTCCCAAACATACTTCTCAGTGCTTTCACATGAGCTATTCCCTCTACCTGGAACTCCTACCCCTCATTCTGTCTGCATCACAGATGCCCATTTAATTGTTCAAAACTCCAGCTTGGCCAAGAGAACTATGTCCTGGCCTCTTCTCTGTATCCCTAACTCTTAGCACAATATTCAACTTAACAGACACGTTGAACCGAACTGCAAATATGTCCATGTAGTAACAATGAAAAGAAAGGAATAATATTTCCAGTTACCTGCTGTTTTTCAGTATTTACTTCAAAGCAGGTTAAAGAGGATGAAAGGTGATGAGTACCTGCAAACTATAATACTAACAGCTAATAAGATTTATCAAGTACTTACTATGTGCTAGACTGTTTTAGATTGTTTTACACAAGTTTCATGTATTAACTCAATTCTCATATTATTCCTATGAAGTGGGTGCTATTATTAATGTAACAAAAATGTTTAGTATGTAAATAATTTCTTTTAGAATCTTAACATATTGGCACCTGCTAAGTTTAAACTGAGAAATGCTTTTTTAAAGAGTATTAAAATAATCATAAACCAGGTTGGAAAAGTTCTAATTTCACTGGAAACTGTTGTTTTATATGGAATTCTGAGAGGACAAAGGACTAGATATGGGAGCATTGTGCCGTGTAGGTAAGGGAGCTATCTGAGTGAAACCTTAAGGATATGAGAGCAGAGAGAAGAGCTCTAGTTTAGAATGACTGTGGACAGTCTCAAGGCGATGCTAAGGAACTGAATATGGGCAAGAGGGAGCCACTGAAGGCTTTGGAAGCTGAAAGAGAAGAAACATCATGGAATACAAGAGACAAAAGAGTTCAGTCAGGAAAAGGGGTCCCAATGCTTTGGAGTTAGAAAGGAAGTCAAAGGTAATATGCAGCAAAGTGGACTAAATTTTTCACTACACTAAACAAAGCAAGCAATGACTTCACAATTCAGAACATTATATTCTTGTTATGAAATAACTTTTGATATGTACTTGTTCAGAATAAAAGACAAGCATCTGTGAAGACAAATCAACTTTCAGAAATCAGCCTCTTACGCGTGGGTTAACACCCCTTCTTCTCTCCCTCTGACAGGCACCAGTCATCTGTTGCCCAGCACACTTCCAGTGAGTGTTCCTGTTTTACTCTCAAAAGTGTCCTGATTTGAACTGGACTGTGGTGATGGTTACACAACTCTATACATTATATCATTAAATAGTATACTTAAAATGGATAAATTTTCTGGTAAGTTATACCTCAGTAAAGTTGTTTTTAAAAAGTCCCAATTTAAATGACAAGTTACATTGGTCACTTAATCCACTCACCTTAGACATGGTTGACTGATCCTCTGCAAAGGGACAATTATTCCATGGGATTCTTTTCTAAGATAGATATATTTTTTTTCCTACTAAGATAGCTTCTAAGCACATGCCATAAAAATATGATCCTAACCAAGTCTCACAGACCCAATGCCATAGAAGTTGACCCTTTATGGGCCTTGACATATCTTGCCAGTAATGTTTCATTTGCCTTGTAAATAAGAAAAACACTATCAATTATCACTATTTGTGAGACTGCCTCAGCCAGGGTGCTACTGTCAAACCATGGGTGGTCTTCATTTGCTTCAAAAGGATACATATAATGTTAAAAGCTTTGGTGTGTTATTGACTTTAAAAATTAAAGCCAGAAACTTTTCCAACTTCAACTTTAATTCTGGAGTCCAAGAATCCTAAGAAAAATAAAAAGAAGAAGAAACTGTCACTAATAAACAATAAATAATAAGATAAAAAGCATTGTCAAGTTGTGGATTTCAGGTAAAATAGCTCCACCAGTTATTGAAATCAAAAGCAGGGTGTCCTGCTGCTCGTGTATGCTGTGAAAAACAAGTTTTAGGACAGCTGACAAATTCATTTATAAAATTCATGTACCTACAGCAGGAGGAAAGAAGAGAGTTCTTTCATAAACAGGGGGCAAATAACCCTGTACATGATTTGGATACTTCATGTGATTTAAACACAAGCATGACAAGGAACCTTACTAAGTTGGATACCAAAAATAGTTCAGTATGTGTTAGGCATACACGGGGCTGGCAGGCATACACAACTGTAACTAGGTTACTGAAACTTTCCCAAATAAAGAGACTAGTTTCCATAAACCTCATCTAGATAAGAAAGAAAGACAGAAGCTGTTATCTGCCTCAAATACCCCATCATGTCAAGAATCATGACATACTTCTAGATTTGTCCTTTAAAATAAGTTACTTATCTCAAGTAATGCTCACTGAGAAGGAAAAAATAAGGACTTAAGTAGCAAAAGAAAAATATGACAAGCAACAGTTTTCTCAGGATAATTTTCCTTACAGTCTTTATACAAACATGTCTACCACCCAGACCAAGAAATTCCACAAAAAAGAAGCTTTATCACTAAAAATTCCTAGGCGCCCGCCTCCCAGGTCCTGCTGACTCCCTCAGACACCCCGCGCTCCCACAGTCTCCTCCTCCTCGGCACTCCAGCCTCCGTTGTGTCTCCCACCCCGCCCCGTCCTTCTACCAAGTGCATATCTGACTTTTTGAAAACATACTGCCAGATAAGAAGAAAAGCCTTACATATTAAAAAGCTGTTGTAATCCCCTGACACAGCATGGTATCTATTTGTAACGTGTGTTAGAGTTGAACTGTGCCCCCTAAAAAGATATGCTGAAGTCCTAACCTCCCTAGAATGTGAGGTCAGTGGGAACGGTTTGTTGAAGATGGAATGAGTAATGATGAAGTCGTATTGGAGTACGTTGAGCCTTTAATCCACATGACTGGTGTCTTTATAAGGAGGAAATTGAGATACAGACACAGAGAAAAGATGGCCACGTATGTGGAGAGCAGATTGGAATTATACGCTCATAAGCCAAGGGACCCCTGAGGCCACAGAAGCTGGGTCCTCCCCTAGAGGCTTCACAGTAAGCATGGCCCTGCCAACACCTTAGTTCAGCCTCCGGCCTCCTGAACTGCCAGACAATAAATGTCTGCGTGGTCCTCCGTTATGCCAGCCCTGAGAAACTACACACAGTGCTACAGTTCAAAGCTTCTGTGCTCAACCATGCAGAGAAGAAATGCAGGGAAGGACTGCTATGTTGGTCAACATAAATCAAGACATCTTAAAAAACAAACCAAAACAAAGTATATGGGACATGGAGACTTTCAGCTAAATTGCTCTGTTGTAGATTATTTATTTTTTATAACCAACAAGTATATATTTTTAATTATTATGATGCTCTGCTAATGACAGGGATATGATCAGAATAAAACCTCTCTGGGCAATGAGTCTCCCATTGGGTTCTAGACTGTGCTTTCAGCTTTGAGAGTAAGAACAATTTCCCAAAGTCTGATGGGCACTTGAAGCTCAAGTTTCCAAAAGGAAGCTCAGCGAGATGGGAAAGCACCACGGCAGTTGTGCTGTGCGGTTGCTCACCCTCTTCATAGCAGAGTTCCTTCACTAGTAGGATGTAGAATTTAAACTAGGTGAGTCATTGTCCGGTTTTTTACCCAATCTCCACAAAGGAATTACCTTTCCTCGCAGCACAGTATAAGAGATAACCTGAAAAAGCAATGAAAACAATGGAAAAAGCTGGATAAAATAAAGACCATCTTTGTAAATGCATCCCTGAGTGGCAAGAAAGGAATTGCTGACTCCAAAACACCGCAGAGGCAGTTTTCACACTGAGGATAACTCAGAATCTTGAAGACCTTGAGCCTTGAAGACCTTCAGTCCCAAGAGCTATCATGGGTATAGAAGACAGAAGACAACAGGATCCATGCATAGTCAGTGATCTAACAGGATACCCCAGCACAAAACTGGGATCCCCCAGGGCTATGCCATCAGGAAAAAGTTAAGGATAAATAACCTTGATAGCCACAAAATAAACCCACTGCACAGAAGGGGACAGCAAAGAAACCTACCTGTCTTGATCTGGACATTAGATTAAAGGGAGGAAAAAAACCTCCTTTGAAACTTCAAAGTCCCATAAATGACTGCAGTCTAACCGACACCATCTATGTGGTCCCCCAAACCTCAAGTGAATAAAATTAAGTTAAAATAGTCCGAGGTTGGTAATGCCCTCGGTGACTGGGAGATCCAAAGGCAGATCTTCTCTGAAGAATCAAACTCCACTCAGGTCTCAAAAAATGTCCCACAAGTCCCAAGTGAAATGAACTCTTGTTAAAACTCAAAAAGACTAATAAAATAAAGGAAATAAGGTACCATGAATGAGAACTGGCAGAAACAAAACACAGTGGGACCAACTTCTGATACCAAACTTAATAGAGAATGTAAAACATAAAGTCGTTTAATATGTTAAAGAAATTTTAAAAGGTGGCTTGAAAATGTAAACAAGGAATAAGACACTATATATAAAAGGACCCAGCAAATTTGAATAAAAAAAAAGAATTTCCATTAACAAAAGTTAGTAACTGAAATTACAAATTCAATGGAAAGTTTAAAGAATAGATTAAATATAGCTTGAAGGGTAACTCTGTGAACTGGAAGATACATGTAAGTAAATCACCCCAAATATAGCCTAGAGATATGAAGTGATGGAAAATATGAGATGTTAAAAGACACAGAGGGCATGACATTGTGAATAAACTCAACACTCCAGAATGGCACACTTAAAAATGGTCGAGATGATAAATTTTATGGTATATATATTCTACCACAATTTTTTTAATTAAAAAAAAAGACGGAGGATAGAATGAGCAAGTCTAATATACATTTAGTCAAATATTCAGAAGAACAAGATAAAGACTACAGGGAAAAGGTAACATATGAAGAAATATAAATTGAGAATTTTCCAGAGTTATTTAAAGACACAAAACTTCACATGCAAGAAGTGCAAAAAATCCAAGTAAAAACGTTAATTTAGCTGTAGCCACACCTTCATAAAATTATACAATCTTAAAGACCAGAAAAAAAATACAGATTATCTACAAAGGGACAGCCATTATGAGACTGATGACCAATTTCAAAACAGCAACAGTGGAAGCTTGGAGAGTAAATAATACCACCTTCTGGGTAATGCAAGAAAAATAACTGCAGACCTCACATTTTCAAATGCTATCTGAGAAAGCAGCAATGACATTTCCAGACAAAGAAGAGATCTTCAACTAAAGATTTGAAAGGAATGGACTTAACGCAGAGGAAAAAAGAATCCCAGATGGAAGGTCTTCACCCAGGCTGGGTCAGTAAGCAAACCACTGGTGGATGTAAGGGCCAATCCACACACACACTGACTGCATAAGGCACTAAAATGCCTGATCTGGGGGCTACAGTAGATAACAAAAATGTTTGAAAGTAATAGCACATAAACTGGGCAGGAAATGGCTGAGGGGAATGCACCGTAAGGTCTTGTAATGGTCAGGATGAGGATAAAGGAATTAGCTATAGACTTGACTGTGTAGACACACTAAAGCATCCATCATGGCCATGAAAAGTACCTATGCAGAGTAGCAAAAGGAAACAAAACTGAAATAACGATCTCCATGAACACTAAAGGCCACGGAATTCCTTAAGGCACCAGAACCAGACCTGTGCCGGAGAAGCCAAACCAGAGTGGGCCGGCTGCCTCTGCAGCCTCGGCTGGACCCGGCCTCTGCCAGCTCCACTCCACCTCGCTCTGAGCTGTAGCCACACTGCTGTCATAATTTCCATAAACAGAAGTCTTCACTGTGAGAGACTCTCATGTCCCTTTTCAAGTTTCACCACCTTCCCAGCTGCTTTCTATTTTCACCCTTCTAGATGAAGTGGGTAGAACTAAATTTGGACTGACAAAAGAAAAACAAGCATGAATTCAACTTAGGCTTCTCCACAAGCCTGCTTTAATGAAATCGGTCAACTTCCTGACCTTCAATTAAGCAGCTGCGATTCAGGAGTGATGAAAGTCGTCTCACTGAACTAGAACAGAACAGGAAGCTGAGATGCAACAGGCTGCAGAGAGCTGCATCCGCTGTTCATGGCAGGGGCGTAAGCTCCAAACAGAATTTTGGAAGCAGTGTGGGATCTTTAGGAAAACCAACTGCATCAAAATTATTTCAGTCTCTAAACACATTTTAATAAACTTCTCAGTGGGACATCTCAATTTTATTAAGTCAACAGAAATTACCATAATGGGTAAATCTTGTTAATAAATATTATGCTGAAACATCAACTAAGATGAAATGTAACAATCAAAAGAGCTATGGGCAAATGAGCTATTATTCCCTGATGGAAATAATAGTACACATTCAGGTAATCAGATACATGCCAAGTAAGCAAGAATTTTAATACACATTGGAATATACATGGAATTCTGTAAAATAACCTAGGTTTTTACCAGGCTACTAATTTTCAATGTAATTAAACAGATTAGCTTTTCAATACTGAAAAGTATACACGGAATGACTGAAGAGGTAAATATATTTTAAAATATACATACGTCAATCTGGGTTAATAAGTCTTAGTGCAACTGAAAAAATTACATTTTATGGCACAAGCCTATTGAAGAAAATTATCTGATAATGTAGGCAAGTTTTAGTTTTCTACAGCGTCGTTCAGAAACCACCTGCGTACACTAGGTCAAACTGCAAGGCTGCCCCGGCTCTGACCCAGCACGTGGAGGCTGTCACTTACCTGGAAGAGCTCTCTAAACGAGGGGTGGGCCATAGGGTTGGGAACAAAAGGCAGGGCATAGAAAGGTAGAAACTCCGTGGTCTGGCTCAGTGCTGCCCCTTTGGTCTCCAGGTAGGTTTTGAAATAAGAAATCCTTTCATCCAGTTCCTCTTTGTCCTGCAAGGAAGGGAAGCGGCTGGTCTGAGCTCTCCTGCTCTGCGCCCAGGCTGCCCACTGCCCCCAGCCTCTCCAGGGCTCCCTCAGTTCCAGCCACGATGTTGGTACACTGTCTTCTGTCATTCTCACGCCACCCTCAAGCTGCCCCTTGATGACACTGTCAGGAATGTCAGGGGACTAGAGATAGAGTTCAATACATTGCTCTTTTACTTTCTCATATCCTTAACATTCTTCATAAACATCATTTTTAATAGCAGGACAAAACCTCATCTGTGGGCCTATTATAATTTATTTAACCATTTTCCACATTATTAGAGATGTGCATTATTTCCACTTTTCAGATATCTGAAATATTTGTCTGCATGTTCATGATTCCCTTAGAAGAGGGCGAAAGGTGAATAGGTGTATCTTTATAGTTTTTTGAAACAGCAGCTTCCATATTATTACACCTTTCCTTTATTAAGCTACCCAAGGACTGGTCTTGCCTACTTCACTAATTCCAAGTGTAATTCAAGGCAGGCCTCTCAGTTTTCAATTTCCTCCTGGGCCTCAATGAGAAGGTCAGAGAAGCTGAACTGTTCAACCTGGAATCTGGTGCTTTCCTTCCCTGAGCACCCTGGCCTCGCTGGTTATGCACACCCTGGGTACATGTTATGCGCACAGATGAAGACTGTTCTGATCAACACATCTCACTTGGTCTACACTGTGAAGTGCTCTTCTGATCACTAGACTTAAAAAATATATAATATTTATTGATCTTTTTATCTTACAAAACAATGGAAAACTTAGAAAACATTGGAAGCAATGATAAATGGCCATAAAACTAAATTACTGCTCATTTGCAAAATATAACATTAACATTCTCCCTTAACACACCAGCAGACCAACCCAATCACAAGGTGGACCTACAGGTCTCCCTACGGAGTGTTTCAGAAGATAGATGGCAAAGTGGATGTGAAGGTAGAACTCCAACTTCTGGGCAACGGAGTCCCCATCTGGGATGCAACTGGGAATGTGCTCCTCCCACAAGTCGAAGAACACCTTCTGGTCTCCACTGTCAAATGCAGCAATGAGGTCCTTCTGTGGAGAAGAGATCACACTGAACCCCTAGCATTAGGGATGCCGGTTCTCCAATATTCAAACCTCCTGCAGTTCACCCAATATTTTGGACACCCCATATGCTCCATGGTTTCACCGTGAGGAAAACTTAGTTTCCTTTTCCAAGATAAGGGACAGAAAAATAGAGCTCCAGAAGGCTTCAAGCATCTTAGGCTGAGATTCTTGCAGACCGACCCTGGTTGCAATATCCAGCCTGGTCATTATGAAGAACAGATGAAACATTTAGGGTCTCTGAAGTGGATGGAATCAGGCAAGGCCAAAGACTTAAGACCAAAAAACTCATGGGCACATAAATACCCTGAAGTTACCCTTTGGACTTGCTGACCCACAGAGTGCAATTGATAAAAACAGGCCAGACGCAGAGCCCAGCCAGGCAGCAGCAGAACAACCTCAGACATACAGAAGCTTGCTGCGGACAGCACAGTGATCAGGTCCCTGAGTGGCTGGGGCTCCTATACACTGACCCAGTCGATCTCAGGCCTGGGAGGTGGGCATGGCCATTTGTTCCTTGTTGCCAAAAGCATCACTGGCTGAGATGGCCCTGTGGGGAGTGACTACGGAGCTCAACATACCCACTAATGACTGTCTGTGTCCACCAGTTACAGGAATAGGGGAGCATGGACTGGAGTGGAGGAGGCAGCACAGACCTGGTGCCATTCCAACCTCAGCTGTGAGAGTCTGAGGATGTGGGGCAGTTTCCGGACTTACGTGCAATAGTTGAAATAGAGAAATCTGGAGAAAGGAGGTGGCAATTATCATGCACCTGGTCCCCAAGAAGAATGATGACTGATCCATCACAAATTCCTGCTGCATAATTTTGCAGATTTAGGTATAAAACAGAATGGCAAGAATTTCCTGACAGTCCAAAATTTGTTATCAGATGTCCAAGATACTCAGACCTACTTTTGTGCTCAACTGCAAAAACTTTTCTGAGACTGGATTTTCTGTGAAATCACCCCTACCCAATATCACCATTATTTATCCCATTATTTGGTCATTGTTCTTTTATACTTTTAAAAATTTAGTTTTCCTGTATAATTACGTTTTGTTAGGATACATATTCTATTTGTTTACAAATGAGTTTGTTAACATTAAACAATGGGAAGGTACAGAGAACAGTGTTGTAGCATTTGGTTATACTTATAAGTCAAAGACATTCATTAATAAAGAATCTTCAAATGTGAAGATTTTGTATTACAAAAATGCTCTCCATGTCATGTGATCAAGAACTGTCTCTGAACACTACCTTACTCTGAAAGGGACTGGCATACATTTGAATGCAACTCGGAATTTTTCAGTCAGCCCCACGGTGAACTTCTCGCTCCTCGGCACCGGCCTCATTCTGTTCCTCGGCCTCGGACACAATGCGGGATGGCCGCTCAGCAGCTATGGGGAAGGAGGTGCTATAGCACAGCACAAGCAGCCGAGCACCGCCACCTCTGAAAGAACTCGGGGGAGCCCGGCCTGAGGACCCCTTTTATTGTTGCCTACTGACACAAAGCTGAAGGGGATCCCCCCAAGCAAGGCTTTGCTGCAGCCCTGCCCTGTCTGCCTCTGTGGAGCTCTGAGCAAACGCTGCAAACCCCGAGAGCCCTTCTGGGGGCAACAGTCCCCCAGGAGAGCTGCCGTGGCCAAGGGCTCTGTGTGAATGAGGTGAGTGCAGATTCTCATGGCTATGTTTAGGCTTGGAGTTGAGGTTATTTTCTTAGTGTGGCTTGGCAGAGTCCACATGTCAAACAGGCCATCTACAGTGTGTTCCAAATTCTACATTTGTAGACCTGGGACCACAAACCTCTGCTGTCACTATAATCACATCTATCATCCCTCCTAACGTATGACTCATATTCTGTACTTGGAAATAGTTCCCGTGTTTAAAAAATGTATCTACACACAAAGCAATCAGTGTTATAACTCATATGGTCACCAAATATTAATGAACTTCTCTAATGCAAACCATGATCACGGCCAGAATCACCAAGTTCACACCACCAATAGGAACACAAACACACACTTCCTACAGAACTGTGCTCAGGAAAACTCAATTTGCTGAGTGCCACTAACACTGAGGGTATTTTGCTAAGCTGTTGCTCCAGGTATTTTTGTTTGGGAAATTTTGCTTGGTACAGCTGTTTATTGGATGAGCAGAAAAGATATGCTTGCAGCAATAGCAAGTTTCAAGGTCTTTCAAGTTACACAAAAATGGACCTAAATTCATCAAAGAAATGCAAATCCAAACCACAAGATACCACCTCACACTCATTAGGGTATTGGCTACTTAAAAAAGAAAAAAACAGAAAATAACAAGTATTGGTGAGGATGTGGAGAAACTGTAACCCCTGAATGTAAAATGGAGCAACCGCTGGAAAACAGTATGGAGGTTTCTCAAAAAATTAAAAATAGACCTGCCATATGAGTTAGTACTCTTACTTCTGGATATACATCCAAAAGAACTGAAAGCAGGGTTTCAAATATATATTTGTACACCCATAATATTTGTAAACAGCGTTCACAGCAGCACTCTTTACAACAGCCAAGAGGCGGAATCAACTTAACTGTCCACTGGTGGGTGAATGGATAAACAAACGTGGTATACACATATAATGGAATATCCCTCAGCCTTAAAAAGGAAGGAAATTCTGTCACATACAACAATGTGGATGAACTTTGAGGACACTGTGTTAACTGAAATAAGTCAGTCACAAAAAGACAAATACTGTATGATTCCATTTAGATAAGGTATCTTTAGTCAAATTCATAGAAACAGAAAATAGAGCAGTGGTGACGAGGAGCTAGGGAAGCAAAAAAAGAGAGTTATTCTTTAATGGGTATAGTATCAGATTTTCAAGATGAAGAATTCCGAAGATCTGTTTCATAATACTGTAAATATACTTAACACTACTGAATTGTACACTTAAATCAGTTAAGATGGGAAATTTTATGTTTTTTTAAATCACAACTTTTTGAAAAAAGGACCTGAAGAGACATTTAACTATTCTCAGATGCAGTTGGAGCTGACATATGATGTCAGACCAGTTGCAGAAGGTACCCAGCAGCCATTTCTGGAGATACCAGGTACACAGAGAAGCTTAAGATTAGAACTTATCCTGTATGACTGCATAATCTGGTTATGTGTAAGCTTCACAAAAGATTCCGACTGTCTGCTATTAGGTATTGAGAATTTGCTACATTCCTCCCAATGCTACCTTCAATTAAGAAATGTTCCCATACCCTTACAACTTATAGGGTAAAGGTGGGTGGTCCTCCTTTCTGAAGGTACTGGGGAAACTAGGTGAGTGCCCAGGAGTGAGGCTGATATTCTGAAGAACAAGCTTCTCTCTGATTAAGAACAGCCCCTGTTTCCATGTCTAACAATGACTATATTCTTGTTTCATGTTCTGAAAATGTTTGCTCTGGGGTCGGGAGGTGCCCTGTCAGGCTGCCTGAAGCATCGACAGAGTGGTCTGTGTGTGAGGAGGTGCAATTCATTGTCCAGGTATCTGAGGCCTGGAAGGGGCACTGGGCAGGGGGTTCAGCCCCACTTCAAGCTCTATAGGCCACTTCAACAATGCCCCCACTCAGTGGCACTCCGTACAAGGCCACTGCGGAGTCAGGGACCAGGAGCGGATGGTGGTGGCTACAGCCTGACCTCTATCTAGCTCCTCAATGGGACCCTCAAACCAAATGTCAAATTTTTTGGAAGAAGGTGTATTAAAACACATAAATCTATTAAAATAATAAAATCACACAAAGCTGAAATATGCTGCAGCAGAAAATAGTATGCTTTCTTGTCACTTAAGTGCTCAAGGTGAGCCAATACTTGTACCCAGAATGTTACAAATAGGATGGCGGCAGCAAATAATGGTTGCCACAGGTACCTTTGTTTAAAAAAAAACAACAACAATAATCTTTGTTGTTATTCTCTTCAAGGTCCTTTGAAGCCCTGAGGGTTGACTGTACAGTCTCTGCCTTTTACTGGTCCCTGGTATTCAAAGACCTTTGCAAGCCTTCCTTTGACAGGACACTGCCATGTCAAGACGACTCTTGATCTCTGCTGCTCCAACCTCCCCAAACTAGAAAGCAAGGGCCATGAGGGCACAGATTTTGTTTCATTTTGTTTAATATTATGTCTCCAGTGCCTGGAGTTAATGACCTAAAACTCAGCATGGGGATCACATTTGTTTCAGTGCCTAAGCACTGCATGGTTTCCTCTTTCTCTTCCTCTCAAGAAATGCATGTGAAAGACTCTGTCTCCAACTATTTCCTAGTCTGGGTACAGAGATATAAAGATGACGTTACTAACTCATCCACAAACCCCCGAGCATCCAAAGGCCACTCTGACCAGGTTCCCAGAAACAATTCCAACATTCTCTAGAGGCAGCATTGTTACAAGAAAGAAGGATATTTAGTATCAACAGAGATTAAAGAAATACAAAATATTACCTGGATTATCAATGATTGGGAGTCCCTTAAAGAGCCACCTGTTGTTTTAGATAATGGTTTTCCTTTTATTTTGCATTCTTTTGAAAATGTTTTCAAGGTGTCTTCAAATTCGGCAAAGTCTAAATACTATAAGAAAGAACATAAATGTGTATATATTTCTGTTTTAATATCAACAAAGCAACTGTCTTTGATGTAACTGTACCGGCTCAGTATTATCACCAATCTACAATGAGGTCAGTGAACAGTCATATTTGGGAGACTAATGTGAGATCCGGCTTAGAATTTACTTGTCAATCTATACACTCAAAGCCTAGAAAGACAGTATCATAGGTAAGATTTCTTTATAGAAAACAAATTTGTTTTCAGAAGAAAAATGTGAGCTGTATACTTCATTATCATTATTAATAGGAAGTAAAATGATGTGTGCAATGGTCTGAAAAAGACAAGAGTGACCAGCTGAAGGCCTGATGGCTTTGGGTCTAGTAGGTCTCTGGGAATTTGTTACTTGAAACAGGGGCATTAGAGAGAATGCCCGCCCCTGAGAACAGATGGTAAGTCATTAAAAGATGGGCCAAGTCATCCATCAGTGACCGTCAAGCACAGCACAGATGATCACTGCCCATCCTGAGGAGCCTTCCCCACTGCTTTCCGTAACACAGATGGCTGTGCTTCACACCCCTCCACCCTCCTCAGTCTGTGTCCACCCCACCTGTTGGTTTCCACCTCCTCTAACTGGACTATTTCCCCAGGTCCTATCCACACTGCTGCTGTGATGGCTTTTAAGAATTTATTCATGATCCCACCAACAAATTCCAAAGCTGAATTTCCAGCGTGGATGCCTCATCCTTGCTCCACTGCCATGTCTCTCAGTGCCTAATGGACAGGTTAAACAAAGTAAACCAGCAGCAACCATTTCTTCAGCACCAACTATGTGCTATCCCCTTGCTCAAAGCAGGGGAGAATACCCAAAAGCACGAGGTGTGGTGTGGATAAAGTGAAGGTTCCTGTGGTCCGGATTCTCACCTGGCCCTGGCTGGCTAGCTCACTACACACGTGTCAGCAATACGTCATTACTGACTCTATATAAAGAGCTCCTCCCAGTGCGCTGGGCTACATGGTGGCACGGCTGCAAGGCTGCAGGAGAGCAGAGATGAAACTGGAGTGGTGGCAGCACCGAGGACAGAGACTGAAATGGCTGCAGGGGCAGAGAGGCCCAGAGGGAGAGACTGGCTTGCTGGGTGCAGACTCACTCTGAGTGAACAGGATTCTAGTGATTGACCTGCCACCGTGGGAATAAAGTTGGGAATAAACCCTTTCACCTCAGGAACGTTCCACTGTCATTATTTTAGTCTCATTGAATCCATACTGAACTTGTCCAGGGCTGAAACCCATTGGCACAACAATTGGCAATAGTAAGCGGGATTCATTATTGACCAAGAACAGGCTGCCCTCATGGGAGGAGTGTTTCAGTGGGCTGCACCTATGGATGGGGAGACATTCGAGGACTCCCCAGTGGACATGTGGTACTGGCAAGGGCTGGGCTCCACCCCAAGAGAAAGAAAATCTGTTGGTGACTGAAATGGCATCACCACGAAGTTCTGTGGAAATGGTAGAGGATGATGTGGTGGCCCGAGAGCAGCAGCATGAGAAGGAGCAGCGGCACAAGAAACAGCAACATGAGCGCGCAGGCTGCCAGGTGCCGCGGGGCAGGTGAAGGATGTAGTGGGGCTGTCAGCCCCAGAAATGGAGGAGCAGAGGTTTGATGAACAGGTGAGGGTGGAAGCCCTGCCGGTGCCGGAGGCATCAGCCCCTCCTCAGTTGAAACTCCACCTGGTTGGAAGCTGGTGGTCAGCCTGGAGGAATCAGCAACCACAGGTTCTTCCCAGAGAGCTGCAGCCCCCTCGTCAGGTTGTGGAGCATCCATGCTCTGCTTCTGTCCTCAGGCTCAAGCACAAAAGGAAATATGGTCTGTTTCTTGAAGGAAGAATTTAAAGGGTCCCGTGAAGGTCACAAGGACTCAGATGTGGGTTGGTTTGAAAAGGCAGGAGCAGACAGAAAGGAATTGGATGACTGGAGCTGTGGCAACAACTGAGACCGGAGCAGTGGTTCCGGCCACTGAGGATGAAGCAGAAGCCAGAGATAAAGCAACAAGATAGCCTATGTGTCTGCAAGACTTTCTGCTGGAGAGGCTGGAGGGGGTGGGTATTATAAGGCCCACCCATGGTTTTTTCACAATGTTTGAATTTCCTTGCACAGGGACCATTGCAGAGAATTGAGGGCACATAGATTGAGAGGCGAGAATCCTGGAGGGGTGAAGTGTGGATAAAGTGAAGGTTCCTGTGGCCAGGATTCTCACCTGGCCCTGGTTGGCTAGCTCACTACACATGTGTGGGCAATACATCATTATTGACTGTATATAAAGAGCTCCACCTAGTACTCTGGGCTACATGGTGGTACGGCTACGCTGCAGGAGAGCAGAGACTGGAGTGGGGGCAGCGCCAAGGACAGAGACTGAGATGGCTGCGGGGGCAGAAAGGCCCAGAGGCAGAGACTGGCTTGCTGGGAGCAGACTCACTCTGAGTGGACAGGATTCTAGTGATTGACCTGCCACTGTGGGAATAAAGTTGGGTATAACCCTTTCACTCCAAGAACATTCCACTGTCATTTCTTTGGTCTCACTGAATCCACAGTGAACTTGTCCGGGGCTGAAACCCATTGGCAAGACACGTGGATCCTACCCTTCCAAAGCTTCCAAAGGTTCCAAATGTAGGAAATCTAAACGTTCATTAATAGGCAACAAGTTAAATTATGATGCAGCCACTCAATGAAATATTCTATAGCATTAAAAGGTATCACAGGAAGATGTTAATGCTATATTATTGTTGATAGATAAAAGCTACAGAACAATGTGTATGCTATCATTCCATTTGTAAAACAAACCACAGACCTGACTCAGAAAAAAGTATGGGAAGATCATACACTAAACCATTAACAGTGGTCACTGCAGGAGTCAAATGGGAGAAATTCACTTTTTATATTTCTACACTGTTTGAATTTTTTACCATAGCATGCATTATATAATTTTCTTTAAAGAAAGTTTTTAAAATACCTTTAAGATTTCGATTTAACAAAACACATGGAAAATTATATAATGGAAAACATTAATGAAAGGCTAGGAAAACATTACAAGGCACTACAGAATTTATTGCATGGTAAAATATACATTTTTTAAATCTCTGTTTTTGTAAAACATACCTCTTTCACTAGTCCAAGTAATTCTGATTCAGGAGCCAGAATATCCCCCATATTGAACTATTACTGTCAATCCTCACAGCAAAAATCTGTACAAAGCAAAAATATAAGACAAAAGTTTTCATTTCAACCATCTGTGAGATCATAAAAAGGTGGCTGGGATGGGCAGAACAATGGCCCCCAAACGTGTCCATGTTCCAGTCCCCAGAAGCTGTGAATGTCGGATTGCAGGGCAAGAGGGAATTAACATGGCAGATGGAATTAAAGTTGCTAATCAGCTGACCTTAAAAAAGGGCACACGTGTACCATTAGCAGGTGGGCCGGATGCAATCACAGGGGAATGAGGGAGAGGCAGGGTCAACGTCAGAGTGACGCAGTGTGAGGAAGACTAGACTGGCCATTGCTGGCCTTGGAGACAGAGGAAGGGCCAAAGCCAAGGAATGAGCACAGGCAGCCTCTAGGAGCTGGGGAAGGAAAGGAGCAGATTCTCCTCTGGAGGCCCCGGAAAGGAACACGTCCTGCCAAACACCTTGATTTCAGGCCGGTGAGAAGCATTTCAGACTTCTGACCTCCAGAACTGTGAAATAATAAATCCAGGTTGTCTTAATCCACTAAGTTTATGGCACTTTATTGCAGCAGCACGAGGAAATACAGTGGCTAAAGTAAAAAGTAATTCTTCTATAACAGCTACTTCATTCTACAAATGAATGTGGCTGAGGATTGGCAGGTGGTGTAAATGAAAGTCAGGAATTGCTAGTGAAACTGTGGAAGCTTAGTTACTCTTCTTATTTTTCTAATGTACTGTAATGTGATGTATGTAATTCAAATAGTCAAAACCACAAAGGGCATTTTAGAACAAAATAGAATGTAATGATAAGATTAATTCATTTATTTTAAAGAATAGTCAGATTAGAATTAATCTGATATGAATGAGTACAGTCACCAATCCCACACCCTGTCTCCAAGCAAAACATACCAAGCATCAGGTACTACTTACTTAAAACAAATCTTTAATGTTAACCAAGGACCACAATTATTCAGTCTTACAATAATAGGAGAGAAGGTAGTGAGCATTTACACACGTGTTAATACAAGGCTCATGCACTAGAGAATTATTAGGTCAGTTTTAAAAAAAATTACAGGGATGCCTAACATCATTTTACATTTCTGAGACATTTAAAAAATAAAACACTGAACTTTGTCTTTTTTTAAAATTAATTATTTCTATTTTCCTGCCCTCACATATATCCAAGGCAGCCATTCCCTGTGCCTCACTCCCAGGCTCTTAACCCAGGCTGGTTGCCCATAATCCTAGAGAAATGAAAAGTTTGGGCTCTAATACTAACTATGTCATTCACCAGCATCTGATTTGGGGCTAAGTCACTGAAACTCAGAGGCTTTTTTTATCTGTAAAGTAAAAAGGAGAATTTATTTAAGAATTTCCAAGAATGCATGACACCAAACCTCACATTTTTCTGCCCGTCACAGTGCATTTTATTTGAATCACTTGAACACAAGTCTAGAAGATTAAATTTTGTAAATTTCCCCTTACATTCTCTTCTCTCTCTCACTGTCATTGTCTTGTGGCGTCATCTCTCGTAAGGTAGTGTGACATGACCTCTCACCACCTCTCTCTCCACTTCAGTCTGATTTCTGTACTATTAACAAGTGATCTTTCTCCTGCTTAGGACCCTGCTGTGCTTCCACCCCCCCACCCCCCAGATGAAGACAAAACTCCTTCGGCCCAGCTCTCAAAGCCTATGCAGCTTGGCATCCTGCACATGCCCTTGGCTCTGGTGGCTCCACCCACAGGCCCCCCAGCACACGCCCGTCCTCCCTCGAGGACTTGTGCTTACTGCTCCCTCTGCCTCCTTGCCCTTCTTCCAGACACACATCTCATTCAGGTCTCTGCTTAAATGTCACCTCCTCTGAGATGCTTGGCCTGACTACCCTTTCTGAGCAGTCCACCCATCATCCCTTTGTCCTGCTTTATTTTGCTCAACAGTACTAACCACTACCAACTTCCTTTTGTTAGTGTATGGCTTGCCGTTGTTCCCCAGCCCAGGACACGGAGTCCACAAGGAGGACAGCTGTTCCCTTGGCATCCCCAGTGCCTAGAGCAGTGCCCGGCACAACACAGTGTTCAGAAATACTTACTAAATAGAAATAATTTCAAACATGAAGAAAGCAGAGCAAGGAAGAGGAGAGAGCTTGGAGAAGGGGGTATGGAGTCATTTTAGACAGATGGTCCAAGAAGGCCTCACTGCAGACATCGCAGCAGAGACGTGAAGTGAGTACTTCCCAGATCTGGGGAAGAGGGATTTACAGGTGCAGAGGCTCTGGGGTGCTGAGGTGCCGGGGTGCAGGCGGAGAGGAGCAGGGAGGACAGTAGAGGCAGAGAACAGCCAGCTCCAGGTCAAGCAGGCCCCGAGCTTTTATCAGAGAATAAGCGGGAAGCCCGGACAGTGCAGAGGAGGTCAAGCAGGCCCCGTGCAAGCCGGAGAGTGCGGAGGAGGGCCCGCAGCCTGGTTTACATTCCTTAGTGAGCACAGTGTGTGCTGGGTGGAGAGGGTTGTGGGAGCCCATGGGCGGGAACAGGCACACAGCAGGAGGCCACTGCAAAGCCGAGCTGGGATGAGGGCAGTTTGGATGCGACAGGAAGCATGTGAAGTGTCCAGATTCCAGATATGAAAGGTGGTGGTGGCACGACCTGCTTGAGGACTGAATGTGGGATGTGGGGGGAAGAAGGGAAGGATGACAGCTGGGGCCTGAGCACTTGGGGCCATAGTATGCCATTTGCTGAACTGGGGGAAGCCCGGGGAGGGACAGTCTGAGAGGGGAAACCAAGAAATCCATGCTGGCTGTAAGTGTCAGGTGCCTGTGAGGCCTCTAAGTGGGGCTGCCGACCAGGTCGGTGAATGTGAGTGTGGCGTTAAGGGGAACGCAGGGGCTGGAGACGAGCACCTTCCTCAGCATAAAGACGGCACATCAGAAGCCGAGTTTCTAACCAACGTGACCCCTGAGGAGAGAGTGTAGTTGGAGAAGACAACAGGCCCATGCCTGAAGCCTGGAGCTCCCGGGACCTGAGAGGTCGGGAAGAAGGGCAGCAGCCAGCAAGAGAGACTTACCAAGGGCAGCGACCTGTTGGCGGGTCACGCCAGGAGACTGACACCCTGGAGGCCAAGTGAGGGTGTCTCCCATATCAATTGTGACTGCGTGGCTGAATAATGTGAGGGCAGAAGAATTAATTACTGGATTTGGCAAAATGGAGTGTGAAGGTGAGCTGGTAAGAGCAGTGAGGGCATGTGTCTGATTGGCACAGGGAGATCTGAACCAAAAATCAGAGAGATGACACGGTGACTGGAAAGAGATGGCCAGTTTTTAATAAGATACTGTAAGCTCCATGTTTGTAAGTTGATGGAATGACCCAGGAAGAGCAGGAAAAACTGATGAGGCAGAAGAGGGAGGAGACGGTGGCAGTGTCCTTGACACACCCAGCGTCCAAGTGGAAGGCCAGGTCTTACACAGGGGCAGGGGCAGCACATGCCCTGACACAGGGATGGCAGAGAACAGGGGCAGTGACCAAAGCACAGACAGACTTAGTGACCAGAAGGAAAACAACGAACAAGGTCATCAGCTGACAGTAAGAAACACGCTGGCAGTGTGAAGAGAGGGAAGGTGGGAACCAAATCGACTCTGAAAACACAGCAGGATTTCTCATACTGGGAGTCTGTTTAGGAAACATGGACTCGAATCCAGAACCGGTGTGCAGAATTTTGCAGTTTTCTCCTGCTGCTCCCAGCTCTCTGAGTTAGGGAGACCAGCATGAAAAGACAGGAGAAAAAGAAAACAAGCATAACAGAAAAAATTGGAGCACTGATGCTGGGTGGAAGGGTGGCACCTATGGGGCTGCAAGGCAGTGAAAAATACAAAGACATACTGAAGGGGGCACAGTAATGCCCGCCTGAAAGATAGAAGGGAGTGGTCAAAGGTGGTATGGGTGCTTGATTATGTAACTGCTGTAGCACACAATGATCACAGGAGAAGATGGATGAGGAAAATGGAGGAAAAAGATGCCTAAAAGATGAAGGATCTGGAGTGGCTAGGATGCTGAAAGTTCATCCTAGTAGAGAGTAAATGAACAGAGGAGGTGGAGAGGTGGACAGTGAGCCAGGCTCTACAGTCCTGAAGGGAAACAACCGTGTCCCTGATAGGTGACTGTCTCCAGGAGGGGTAGCAAGTGGTAAAACCATGACATGTGTCTCAAAGGAGCCGGGGGCTTTCAAGAAGGGGGTCAGCAATCTGGAAGTAGGAAGGAGGAGCAGAAAGAACACTCATCCCACCCCCCACCTCCAGGCCTGAGTATTCTATCACTCTGACATTCTTAAACATTTCAGAATTTTCTCTAAACCTTTAATATAGGTTCATTTATTAAGGGCTTCTTGTATGTCAGGCAATGTGCAAAGTGCTTCACATTTAATTTCCACAATAAACTTGAGAGATGAATATGATTTATATTCTACATTTACAGATGAGGCAACTGAGGCTCAGGGAGGCAGAGGCGCTCCCAGTGATTCAGCTTTTAAGTGACAAAGTGGGAATTTAAATTCAGACTGACATTAACCATTACACAGTATTACTCCAAACTTTGAGAACAACCTGAATCAGAATTCAGTAAGAAACAATTGGCAGTGTGAAGCGGGGGAAGGTGGGAACCAAATCGACTCTGAAAACACATCCACCTTCTCCTAATGCTTGTGCAAATGAAAATTCCTAGCACTGCCCTGATCTTACTGAACACCACGGCAGGCACGATGCCCAGAAGTTGCTTTAAACAAGCCCTCCAGATTAGTTGCATGCACACCCAAGTTTGAGAACCACTGTTCTAACTTTATGAAGAAACTGAGAAAAGAGAACTTCTTCAGTCACCGTTGAAGGTTGCAATGGCAGCTTCTAAATTTCTGAACAGGGACTTAGGACCTACAAGCTGATTAAATACGGGGAAGACAATGAGATTTGTCTGGAAGACTAATTTGTATAGCAAGCATCCTGTTTTTGCTTAGATATATTAAAATCTGGGCTGAAACTGGGTGCCTGGGGAGGCAGGTTAGCTGATGGAGATAACGAAGGGGATGGATCTAAAAGCCCAGGCGCCCCGCCCGCGCTCCCATTACCCAGCTAGACAACTTGGGGCCTGCTTCAAGTTTGGCCCACCGCAGCAAAGATCAGGGACTACCTGCGGGAACGTGGTCGGGATGTCCAGGAGGACGCCTGCGGCCCACGCCATTGTCGAGTCCAGGGAGGAGCCGAGAAGTGGGGGCACCAGGGAGTGGCTGCCGAGCTGGCGCGTCGGGGTTTTCCTCTTGGGCGAGGGCTCCGCAGAGGCTAGGCTTTCGGGACCCACCATTGCTCTCCAAGCCCCGGGACGTTGCTTACCTGCTGCTCTGCCTCAGACACTCGCGCCTACCCGGCTCGGCCGCCACCTTTACAGCAGTCGCCCCGGCAACCGCCGCCGTCGTCACGTGAGGTGGCACAGCCAATCCCCGAGCGCAGCTGGCGCGGAGCATCCTGGGAGGATAGGCGGGAGCCTTGGGAACTGTGGCTGTTAACCTTGCTGACAGCGGGGTCGACGGTTCGTGGTCCAGTGACCGATGCGGGACGCACGCTGTCCTTCCGCTTGTCCCGACCACCTCCCGACGACTTCCCATTCATTCGTTTCCCTACACGTGGGTCCGGGCACTGTGCCGGCCTGGGGATGAACCGGACCAGGCCCAACCCCTGACCGTCAAGGAGCTGGTACCACAGGGAAATAAAAACCGGCGAGAAGATTACGGTACAGCGCAGCGTTACTGGAAAAAGAAATAGGCGTTGTTATTCCCAATTTCCAGGCGTGACCAATGACTACTTAGAACCAAAAGTGTCGCACCTTATCTGCCGTCAAGCTCCAGGATCAGGGTTCCACATCGCTGCAGACGTTTCCAGGGATTTTAGAGAAATTTTTCCCCCTGATGATTTGGGTTCTTAAAAATAAAATAGGAGCTCAAATCCCTTTCTGCACGTGGAGCTTTTGAACTGAAGTTCACCAGCACTGAAAGAGCACCTGCGCGAGTCATAATCTTTGTGATTTGGGGTGATAACTGGAACAAGTTTTGATAAAGTTAATAAATATTTAAATATCTGTAACTTCAGTTGTAATTTTAAAACTTCCTTCAAATCCTTGAACACTTGAATACTTAATAAATATTAAATTGGAGAAGTTACTAAATCAAACTCAGTATATTTAACCCATTTGATATGTCCTTGTGTGACTACAAAGAATACTTTTGTCACAAAGGCCAAACTGCCTGGACCTGAGGCTGGGCAGTACCCAAGTTGGCTGTGCTGTATATTGCCCATGAGTTCAGAGCAGTACACTGAACCAACTGCCTAGCCTCGATTCTTTGGTTTGCTAAAGCATCCCATTGGCCTTAAATGATCTTGTTTGACCACTCTAGTTTTCCTAAAGTGAGACACATACTGCCAGTGGATCCAAAATGACTTTGTAAAATGTTTAATTATGAAATTTTCAAACATATGCAAAAGTAAAGAGAGAATCATTTACTGAAGCCCCATAAACCCACCACTCAAGATTCTAGGATTGTCAAGATATTGCTGCTGGGAGAAAATCGACCCCAAATTCAATTCTTGGGATATGCAAAGTATTTCAGGGGAGCTAACCAGCTTTGCACTGGCCATCAAAGGGATGACTGAGCTCTGCATTCAAGGGGCAAATCTGAATCTTCTGCAGTTGACAGCCCTTTTTAAGACCCCACTCTTGAGTACCACTGTCTTACCAATGGGTCTCAGCCCCGGGCAAGTTCACTATGGATTCAATGTGACCAAAGAAATGACAGTAAAATGTTCTTGGGGTAAAAGGGTTATACCCAACTTTATTTCCACAGTGGCAGGTCAAACACAAAAATCCGTTCACTCAGAGCGAGTCTGCAGGCAGCAAGCCAGTCTCTGCCTCTGGGCCTCTCTACTCTCACACCTGTCCTCTGGCTCTGTCCTCGGTGCTGCCACCACTCCAGCCTCTGCTCCGCTCTCCTGCAGCCTTGCAGCCCTGCCACCGTGTTATATAGTCAGTAACAATGTATTGCCCACACGTGTGTAATGAGCTAGCCAGCCAGGGCCAGGTGAGAATCCTGGCCACAGGAACTTTGATTTTATTCACAACAACACATAAAGGAAGAGGGTGCAAACCCCCAAAGAGAGTAAGTTGGAGAGGGTGAAGCCACCTAAATTAAGCCCTGTAAGGCTGAGCCTCTCAGATAAACCTGGGAGCCAGCTGCACCAGCTTGTCCCAGAGCTCCTGCAGGGGGCGTTCAGACCAGGAACCTGTTTCTGAGCAAGCACAGGGCCTGGATCTAATCGGCAGGTTGAAGGAGGAACACACTGAAATACCAAGTGCAAATTAAAATGTAGAGATGCTGCTTTAGAAAAAAAAAACGGCCAACTTCCAGCAAAGTCTGGTTTTGGTCACTGCCCAAACTCATGATGTGTGGGGGATTCAGATCTCTGCCTCCCTGGTCTAGAGTCCATGTAGAGGAGGAACTGAGTCTTGGTATCTCCTGAGGGCTACTTGATTTGTTGCAAGGAGATCACCCTGGGTGGGAATATATAGCCCCCAAGGGAGCTGAGAGCAAAAAAAAAAAAAAGCGGGGAAGACTGGGAAGTGGTGGAGACCAGACCATCTATCCTGGCCCTGAATGTCATCCTTCCTTGCCCTGTCCCAGGGATGTGAGTCACATCACAGCCCCCAGTAGTTCTGTGGCCTGGATGAAGTTGGCAAAAAGACCCAGGCCTTAAAATGGACTTCCAGAAGAGCAAATCTGGTTCCAAGGTCATTTCAAAGCAAGCACACTTCTGCAGAGATTGGTGGGACTCTCCTCTGTGGTGTTCATAAACACAGACACAGACATGGATACAGACATGGATACAAAAATAAGATTTTTAGCCAGGAATATCACTAATTTTCTAAGCAAGTTAAACAATGTACATTGCATGGCATGTGAAGTGAGCACAGAGCAGAAATGCTAAAGTATTGGGGTGGTTTCCGGGCAGGCTGACACACCCTGAGGACCAGCAAGACGTGGCACCCACAGATCTTTTGTTATGTGACTGCCCCTGTCTTTTGGATGGAAAGCTGCAGAAGGGATTCCTGTGACCCACTAAGCATGGCCTGGCCTCAGTGCTGTCAGCCTGAACAGCAGTCTTACTTGCCCCAAATCGCCTTTTCATTATGATTACTGCTTTCACTGTGAGACCTACATGTGGACTAGAGGGGAGTGTGCGACAAAGTGGGCTCCTAAACAAATCATTGATTAGTCTTAACAAACAGAATGCTTCAGGAGGCGCATTGTAGTCACATCAAATGTTTTTACCTTTCTCCCCACCAATAATGAATGACCCATGAGCTCAGGTGAACCTGAGGTCAAGGCTAAGATGTTGAAGGATGAAGCCCTTTACTGCCAACAGACATGCCAAACCCAGAGTGAGACTGTGGTTGGTGAGGAGAGAATTTATAAGGACGGGCTCCGGCATTCCCCAAATGTGCTCTTGGGAACTTGTTAGAAATGCACGTTCTCAGGCTCCGTCCAGGCCTGCTGGCTCAGAAACTCTGGGGTCCAGCGATCTAGACGACTCGGTGGGCTCCCCAGTGTGGGGAACCACTGGGCTGAAGAGTCTCGGGCAGAGCGCAGGGAGCGTCTGGGGCCCTGAGGCCAGACCCGCGGGGCACGGCGGGCAGGGCTCCGGCGGAGGCAGCCCCGCCCGCGGCCCTGGAAGAAACTAGCAGGGCAGTTTTCTCCCAGGGGCCCGAATCTTGGGGGCGAGGGTCGCCACAGTGACCTCCGGCTAGGAAGGACGGGGCCAGCGGCGGTCTGGGGCAGAGCCTTAGGGAGCGGCAGTCCTACCGGCCCGGCCCCGGCGGAGATTCGGCTCTTGTCTGGGCCGCGGCAGCGCTGCCTCCCCGCCCAGGGCGGCCACTTCCAGGAAGCCGGACTCGGCGGTGCCCGCCCGTCGGGCCGAACGCGGAAAGAGTCCCAGAGTTCACACGCGCTCGGGAGCAGAGACAGTCCCCGCGCGGGAGACCCCGCCCCCAGGCCACCAGCTTCCCACCCTGCCAGCCCCCAGCCCCTGACCCGAGAGGAAGCTGGGGCAGGGACACTGGAGCTGCCTGGGGGCAGCAGCCCGAGCAGACGTCCGCCTTCCCCATTGCAAGCTCTCCCTTTAGTCTGGCCACTGCCTTTTCCCTCCCTGCCTCTGCTCCTTACAGGCAGACCAAGACTCCTCTTCTCCAGTGACAGAAGCCCGGCTGGAAACAGCCTAAGCCAAGAGCGACTCGTTGGCTGGAATCAGTGACGTGTGAGGTGGAGTTGGCCTGGCGCAGAGCTTGAAGCAGGGCTCCAGCAATGCCTCCAGCTCTGCGCTGGCCTCTCTTCCCTTCTGGGCCCTGCCTTTGGCTTTGTGTGGGACAGGCCTCTCTGTGGCTAGGCCTGTAAGGTGTCAGCCCCCGGGGGGCAGTGGTGGCCTGCACTGAAATAACCCAGTGGGAAGGTTCTCACTGGAGTTTAGGGGCCATGGGTGTCTGCTTCCAGTCCTCCCAGAGGTGGCTGCACCCTGCCCTTGCCTTTCTGAAATACCTGTGTGTAAACAGGGTAAAGCCCCCTTCTTTGCCGAGTGTGTTCACGCTGATCATTTCGCTTGCAAGGGGTAGTCTGGACCTGCACAGGCATCCTGGGTGGCCCCTTCCCAGGCCTGCCTGCCTACCCAGGAGGTGGAACTCTCCAGCAATAGGACAACAGGAGGGGCATGGCCCCATGCCCCGGCCCAGCTCTGCCACCCCCTCCTCCTTCTCACTGCCAGTCAGGAGAGTGGCCTGGTTCTCCTCTGATTCCATACTGGGCCAGGTCCCAGGAGGGCTCGTCAAGAGCCAGTGGGGAGGTGCCAAAGTAGGCAGAGATGTTGGACTAGCATCTTGTCCAGGCTCAGGAGCTTCTTGTAAATAAAGTTACGTTGCCCACTCCCCTGAGTATTTTCAGCCTCCGCTTTGAGTTGAGGCTCAGAAGCTGTCCAGGAAATGTGATATGAACCCTGTCTATCTCGTGGGTTCAGGCAGTATGGTCCAGCTGAGGGCCTGGTGCAGAGCCGACAGGTCAGCCTGTAGGAGCCTGGGGACATCCTGGACACTGATACCATAAAGCTGGGTGTGAACAGAAGGGGCAGTAGCACCGGATACTGCAACAACCCGGGGCTTGGACAGCTGCTCTCTGGGCCCTCGGTGTACAGGCAGTCACGACTTGCACAGCAAGAGTGTGTGCCCCACCATGCAGGGGAACACTTGGCAGTTGCCTTCCAGTTCCATCTGCTGTGGCACCCCAGGTCCTTCCTCAAGGAGGAGCCCTAGGAGCAGAGCCATCGTGGAGCCACAGGCCTCCAGGACAGCGGACCAAAGGTTCTGGCGTCAGCGGGACCACCTTAAAACACACATGCGGAGTGAGAGAAGTCCATGGGAGGGGACCTCCTGCTGTCAAGGGCCCCTAGTCCACCCCTCTGGAGCCCCCGGGCAGGGGAAGCATGAGCGGCCCAGGCTGGGCAGTGCCCTTGCTCTGGGCCTCTTGGCTGACGGGGGCTGACGAGGAGATCCTCTGAGTCTGTAGGTTTCCCTGCTGGGCCGTGAGTGGTGAGGCCAACCAACCAAGGCCAGCCAGGGAGAGGACAGGGTCCCATTTGCATGGAGATGAAGGACATTTCTTTCTCCAGATTTCTTTTGTAGGCTGAGCACTAAGTTTTTTAGGAGGAACTTGGATAGGTCCTTTGGGGCGAGGGTGGGGTGAGGAGCGGATGGAGCTCTGCTTTCCTAGGGGGTGCTGATCCCCATGGCCTTTTTTGCATCTGAGCACTGTGGCGGGTGCAGGTTGTGGGGTCAGGGTCAGCTGGGCCTGACCAGAAGTGCCCTGTAATAGAAAGGGATTCAGAGTCAGGGAGGAAGGGAGCCGGCAGGCAGGGTGCTGCTCTGGAGAGGATGGCAGTGCTGACTTCCTCCGAGAGGATTTGGGGGCCGGAAGTGTCTAAGAGGCAGGATGGTTACTGTGGGG